GGGGGGGAAGGGGGGCGCTCCACAGGCTGACAGGAAACCACAGCTAGGTCAGGTTAGGAGTGGAGGGGCAGTGTGAGAACGTAGTCAAAGGCAAAGGCTGATTGGCAACAGCAGGGAAACTGAGGCACCAGCGTCTTTGCCTGCGAAGCCCGCCTCCAACAGCTCCCACCCCCTGCATGTCTCATGTCCCCAGATAGGATCCCTGGACTGGACTATCTGAGTGTCCACTTGTCTCCAGGGCCAAAGGCACCTCGTGGAGCTAAGGTTTGTAAGTGTGGGTGTTAAGGAGGAACCGACCTCCGAGAGGTCAGACAGCCCAAGGTCACTGCTGGCCAGATTCATCTCTGTAGGGTTAGTTCAGGCTGCCCCTGCACGCTTCCCCCCCAAGCCTTGAGAATCAGGATGTGGAGACCTGTCATGATCAACGTTCAATCTGTAAAATAGACTTACACCACCTCCTTCTTTCTTATTTTTGGTTGGTCATGGGGCTTGAACTCGGCTTGGGCGCTGTCCCTGCGCTCTTCAGCTCAAGGAGAGCACTCTACCACTTGGGCCACAGTTTTCTAGTGGTTTATTAGAGATAAGAGTCTCACAGCCTTTGCTGCCCGAGCTGGCTTTGAACCACGATCCTCAGATCTCAGCCTCCTGAGTAGCTGGGATGACAGGTGTGAGCCACCCGCACCCAGCTTTCCCACCTCCTTCTTAACCATGTTCTAAGTCACTGGTGCTCAGAGAGAAGGCAGCATTGACCAGAGGTCGAAGTGATACTGAAGGAAAGGTGTCATGGAGGATACTGTGAACCAAAGGGTTTATCCACAAGAGACGTGAGGACAGACCGAGGCCTAGGCTGAGGGCGTGATCGGGCCTCCAGCTCGCCCCACAGCCCCTCTGTGTCCTCCACATGAATAGAGACCAGAGGCATAGTGAGGCAGCCACCTGATGGGCCAGGGCTGTGGGCCGTAGCTCCTGGTGAAGCCAAGGTCCACTGAGAACTCAAGCAGTGCTCCAAGTAGGACCAGAAAGTGGGCAGTGTCACCTGGGGGCCAGCAAGCCGGTCAGTCAGGTCCAGCCGGACCTTCTGGCTCACAAGAGGTGAGCTGTGCGCCTGTGCAGTCTGCGGAGAGCAGGCCGTGAGGGCAGGCACTAGCAGGACATAGGTGGGTGAATGGAGATCCAGACATTCAGGCGCGGTAGAAGTGCTCATACAGCTTTCCTTGATCGGGGTTCCTGAGGAGAGAGGAGATAACCGAGGGCATAACCGAACCTGGGGGGCTGCTGTGTGGAGCAAGGCCGGGCTGGGCAGGAGCAGACAGCAGCCCTGCGGAGTGACTGCAGAAGTCAGCTGCTGTGACCAGCAGGAGGCGTCGGGGAGGAAGACGGTGGCCCAAGAGGCCGTGTGTGCACACCCCGGGACATGGGTGTCAAGCGGGCTCGGCAGCAGCACAGGCCATTGAAGGGCTGGGTGTCGGAGTCAAGGAAGAAATCAAGTCAGTCAGCCATAGACGGAAAGCCACAGGAGAGTAAACCCTCACGAGACAGCGTGAGTGTGAGGAGGAGGTGGGACCCTGCCAAGGAGCCATCGCTGGCTGGCTGCTGCATCTATGTGAAAGTGTGACCCATTTTATTTTAATCTCCCAGAGCACATAAGGTTAGCCTGCATGACTCAGAGCCGAGACGGCGTGCAGAAGTTGCCCAGCCACAGCACAGCTGGGACCAGTTTAGCTTCTTCCATCTTTCAACTCCATGATCTGTTCCTCAGCCTCAGCTCCTCACACTGTAGATTTAAGTTTTGAAAGACCCCCCTTGGTTGTTAATGAAATTCCTTGGGGGCTGAGAAGCTTTCTGAGCAAGATGTGGGTGTAGGTCTGGTAAGGTCCCCACCCCTCAGGTCGTCGGCACCCTGGGTAGTCTGGGCGGCCCCCTAGCCGGCCTGGCCTGACAGCCCCTGGAGTTAACACAGAAAGGGAAACCAAGATTATGTGCGGATGAAGTGAGTTAATTCTCGATGGTGAGAAAGGCGGGCTGTCACCTTTGACCTCCCAAGAAAGACCTGTCTGCCAGCAGGTGGAGAAACTGCACCGCGCGTGCCTGTGGGCTGGTTGTCTGTTCATCCGTGAATGTGAGGAGGTTCAGCATGTGGTGTGGGAGTCTAGTTTTGCACTTACCTGCTGGTGACTATCACACACTAGGCTTTTTATAACCCAACCAGGATACATGGGCCCTAACCCAGCCTCTGTTCTCCTGTCTGGACCGTCCAGTGACAGTGCCCGCGTCGGGAGCCTTGTGGCACTTGTCCCTTGACAGACGCATGTTGGTGACTCGTTGTCCAGGTTTAGAAGCTGCTGTCGTGTAGTGGTCGGTCTCTGGTTCAGATGGTCTCTGCAGCTCCCCAAGAAGCTAGCTGCCACCGGTGCGGGGCCCAGCCCCGGGTTTGGCGCCCCAGGGCTGAGAATGCTCTGTAGGGAATGGGGTCTTATTTGTCCCCCGTGGTTGGAGTGGACCTTTCCTGTTCCACCTGGTTCCACACAGTCGGGAAGGCGGAGGAGCGCCTCCGCAGCTCGCTCGGCTGTCTCCTCACTGCCCTTGCACACGCTTTACGTAAACCTGGCCATGCCACCGTGGACTTGCTGCCCCGCCTCTCGTCGGGAAGCATGCCTTACTCCCTGCTGAACTAGTCGTTAAGAAAAAAGTTGAGGGGCTGGGAAGGTGGCTCAGTGGTAGAGCGCTTGCCTTGCATGCATGAAGCCTGGGATTCTATTCCTCAGCACCACATAAGCAAAAAGAAAAAAGCCAGAAGTGGCGCTGGGGCTCAAGTGGTAGAGCGCTAGCCTTGAGCTGAAGAGCTGAGGGACAGTGCCCAGGCCCAGAGTTCAGGCCCCACGACTGGACCCAAAAAAAAAGAAAGAAAAAAGTTGAACTGCTTGTAGCCATTTTGTGGAGGATGTTCCCACCGTTCACTCTGTACTTCTACTCATCATAGGCCCATGGCCGACGTGTCATGATAACGTTAAAGTGGTACCGCATCTAGAGTGCCCACGCACTCTAGAGTACGTGGTGTGGGCCACGTTCTGGGTGGGTGTTCTGGGGTGTCTGCCTGGTGAACCGAGGGGCCAGGTTGATTTCCATTCAAGTCTCCATTGGAAGAGCTGTGTGCGCTGCGGGTGGGATCTCCCGCCCACTGAGAAGGGCTCCTACCGCACCAGTCTGCGCCTAGGGCCTGTGTGTAGGTTAAAGATCTGAGAGATCCGCGCTGGAAGAGCTTGCTGTGATGCTCAGCAGGCTGGCATGTGAAGGACTTGGCCTTTGCCTCCAGCTCTGCTAGGGCCCCTGTGTCAGACCCAGCAGTCCCAGGGTGACTGTCGGCAGTGTCCCAGGGTGACGTTCCCCACGACAGGAACCGGCCCAGCCTTAGGGGGCCTAAGCTGAGGGGAGAGTTTTAGCCTGGTGGCCAAACTCATCTACACTTCACCCATATAAGCTGCTTTGATGCCGTGGGTGCTCTGGCTGTTTGTGAAGAAATGTCTTCTGTCTGGGGGAGGCGGTGCCCTTGTGTGGCCCCGGGGTGAAGCCGTGTTGAGTGGACACCTGTGCTTTCCCATGCTGCCCCTGCCCCAAGCAGTCCTGGACACAAGGCCCAGGGCAGAGCCCATCCGGTGCCTGGTGCCCCCACACTAAGGGGGAGTGGGGAGGAGGGGAACGTCTCCTTCCTCCTCTCTTTCTCTTTATCTCTTTAACAACCCCCTACTCACAGCCAATCAAGATGGCCCCGCCAAGACCCTGCGAGCACTGGGGCTGCGGGGTCAGCGCCTCTGAGGAGGCAGACGTGTTGTGTTGAGTTTGGAAAGCTGCTTTGGAGACTGCCACACTGCCTGAGCAGTGCTTGAGAGAGTCAGGCTGGTTCTCCTCGTTTTTCTTGTCCTATCACTAAGCCTTCTTGAGGACATAGACGCTTCCGTTCCTAAGCCAGGAGACGTGGTGGGAAGGAGAGGGGAGGGGCGGGGGAGCACATGTGGCAGATTTGTGCTGAAGCCAACTCTCCCCCACCCCTGTTTCTGCCACACAGCTTCTTTGAGTGTTATTCGTCCAGACAGTGTCATCACGTGGCTAACTATAATGGGAATTATTAATCTGTTCAATCTTATAAATAGCAGGGATCACACTCCAGTCTCCAAACCAAATTACTGTGAACATTTTCCTTCTGGGAGAAAAAAAAGTTTCCAGTCAGATATAATTAAACTCGCTACCTAGTGGATAAAATGAAGCTTGCTGTCGAGCAGAGAGGAAACCTTGCTGTCCTCCACTGGACGCAGTCTGAGTGGCCGTCCCCCGTGCTGCGCTGCCTCCTGAGGTGCGGGTCTCCTCTCCGCCTGGCCCTCCCTCAGCACGCCTTCTACAAGCGTTCCTCGGCCACACCTGCGTGCGTGCGTGCAGCGTGCCACTGCTGTGCTGTGTGTGGCTCCTCATCTGTCTGTCCCAGGAGGCTGTCAGCTGTCTGGGGGGAGGGCACTGTGTGCAACCCTGTGGTGAGCCCTGAGAATGTTACCAATGATTTGAGACCTGTGGTCCTTATCCGGCAGGGCTTCCTTCCTCCGCTCTCCTGGCCTGCGGTGGAGGCCGTGGGGTGCGGTGCAGCCCCATAGCACCGCATACACTGACCTTGAGGCCAGTCTGTGGCCCGTGCTGCACACGGAGAACCGGGAAGCTGTTCTACCCAGCCAGCTTTGGCCCACACACACCCAGAGTCAGCTGCAAACACCGCTCATGGGGAGATCAGGCCATAGGGGGAGGGTGTAGAAGATGGAGGCGTGTTCACGGTGTGAGCCTGTGTGGATGCATTGTCTCCATGTGAAGGAGATGTTAGGAGTTCCGCCTGCTACCGAGGGAAGGTCTTCCCGGCCACGCCCCAGCCACCCCTTCAGTTCTGAGTTCCTGCTGTTCCTGCCTCAGCTGCCTGATTTCACAGCTTCAACAGCACTAACGCAAATGCACCTGTGTTCTAGGATTCCCGGCCGGCTGAACGACAGGAGGACTCCTCTGGGCGAGCTGAACTGGATCTTCACCGCAATCACAGACACCATCGCGTGGAATGTGCTTCCCCGGGGTGAGGCTGCAGGCCTGCGTGGAGGGAGGCCCCCCAGACAAGAGGGAGGGGGTGAGCAGGAGAAGGGAGGAACTGCGGAGGTGTCCAGGAGGATGCGCGGTCCGTGGGCCCTGGCGTGTAATGAGGTCATGCCAGTTCTTCCTCGCGGCCAGCCAGTGCTTCTCTAGCTCTGCATAAATGCTGGCAATGGCCTTCCTTGTCAAAACTAGAATTCCTCTTATGAAACTTGTTTACACACGGCTGTGTATTGGTTGGTTGGGTTTCTGGTGTTTGTTCATATATGTGCTCTGTGCGCATGTGTCTGTGCATGTGTGTATGTGTTTGTATATGTGTGTATATGTTGCCAGTGGAAACTTCATGTTAGTCTTAACTTGTTTGTAATTTTTGATGGAGCTTCTGTATATTTAGTTCAAATACTGAACCCCAGTCACTAAAGATGTCTCTTAATCTTTGATCTGCCCTCAGATCTCTTCCAAAAGCTCTTCAGACAGGACCTACTGGTGGCAAGTCTATTTCGAAATTTTTTATTGGCAGAAAGAATCATGAGATCATATAACTGCACCCCTGTCAGCAGCCCCCGCCTCCCGCCGACTTACATGCATGCCATGTGGTAAGTGTCTGTCACTGCTGGGTGGGCTTTGTGCATGCTCCCTGGTGCTGCCCGGTGAGGGGCGGAGAACTACCCAAGCATGGTACTGAGGCTTGGCCCCAGAACCAAGTAAGAAAAGTACAGGAGTGAGTGCCCACCTTGAGCCTTCCTGTGGGCCAGGCCAGTGGCCTCAGGGCCCATGGGTCCCCTGTTCCGAGGGCAGCACCCTGCACTGGCCTCAGCCTGCATTTGTGAGCAGCATCTAGGACTGCTCCACAAGCTAAAACCATTGAATTCATAACCTGCTAATTTGTATGTTACACACACACACACACTGTTAAGTATAAATCCCTCCCGTTGCTGCTGCTACTTATACTAGTCATATTTGTAACAATGAACAGTGTGATTGGTTTTAGACAAGGCATCTCTGAAGACGTATGGTTTCTTCTGTTCCATTGCCTACTGTTACTCAGCTTTCCCTTGATGTCATAAAACACCTGAGATAATGAATTTATAGAAAGAAAAGTTTCCTGGGGCTGGGGGCCTGCCCTGCGCCGGTGGCAAGGCCACATCACACCACATGGATCAAGAGCGTGATAAACCAAACTGCTGACCTCATAGCTGGAAACGCAAAAGAAAAGACGCATGGAGCCAAGCCAGCGCAAGGCTGAGTTCAAACCCCAGTGTTGCCCAAGAACAAAGAAAAACGGAAGCTCGGTGTTTTTGTTTATAAGAGAAAGCCAAAATGCTTAGTGCTTAGCACACACACGGACCGTAAACATGAAAAGTGAAGACACGGTCTGCACCTTTTCAGGTGATGGGAGGGTAGAGTGGAGAGAGAGGAAGCGGAAGTGGACTGTCAGGCTCAGCACTGGCTCCTACCCAGCTGTTGGTTTCCTTTCCTCATCAGAGGGAGCCCCCGCCTTTTGTTCTGTGGAGCAGATCCCCAGGCCCCGCTGAGCTCTGCGGCCGTGACTGCAGGGCTGGGCTTGATGAGGTAAAATCCCCAAACCCTGACCACCGAGGAGAGGACCACAGTGGCAGAAACCCGTTTCTGTGGGGTCATGCAGGGACAGCCTGACCCTCAACTGAGGAGAAGATATCTGCTCTGCCTGGGACGTCACCCAGCAGGAAGACAGAGGGGGCGGGGCCTCCTCCGTTCTCACCGCCTCCCCAGACACTAGTGAGTGCTTTCAAGACTGGATTTGATGGACATTTCACTTAGTAAGCTGAGGGGGGCGGGAGAGGGGAGGGAGCAAAGCCCACCGGTGGCTGTGGGCATCCCCTGGGCTCTGCCCAGCGGGAGGCCAGGGGTTGGCTTCCTGAAACTAGAGGACTCTGGGCTTTACTTTCACATTTCAAAAGCTGCGTTATGTGCCCAGATTCTTTCATCCTCATCTCTGCTTTAAGCTGCACACACACAGAGAATCCTCAATCGCTGGACCTTGGAGGAAGGAACAGTTAAGTGTGGAGAACGCACAGCAAACCTGGACTTGGTAAAAAAAAAAAACAGAGTTCAAAGGCCCTGAGGAGCAAATGTGCTGAATCAAAAAGATTAGCACTGGAAGAAAGCATTTGAACTCACAAATGCTGTGCCAACGGCAGTGTTTTCTGAGGGACGGGCCGCTCTGTTTAGGACTGGGAAATCCCTTCAAGCACAACGAGGCAAGCAGACACCCTGGCATCTGGAAAGAATTAAAGACAGTTTAGTTATCTTTATCATTATCTATTGTGGCCAGACAGTCGCCACAGTTTGGTGGCTTAGAATAACATGCACCATAATGTCACATTCCTAGGAAATAGGTCCTCCACATAGAATCCCTCCAGGTTCAGCGGCACTGGGAGCTGGTAGAGCCCCACCATTCTGCATCGCTCAGAGACTCTGACCAGACACATGGGCAGCCGATACCATGCTACCTGCAGTCACAGCTGCTGAACCATGGGTGCTGACCACCGCCATATTCCCCTGGGCACAAGTCCCGGGCTCTCCGCACTGGGGGCACAGATGTGTGCCCACGGCCATCCCAAATCAAGTCCTTTGCCCTCCCAGGAGTGCTGTGATGACAGCTTACTGGTGACAGGCCTTGGGGAGGGAGGAGTCACTGCTGGGCACGTGAGTAATCATCAGCACTTGACTCGGCTTTTAGACACATCCTGGGGACAAGAGCATGCAGAGGCTTCAGAAAAGGCATTGACCCCAGAGAAAGCCAGGGGTCTGCAGCCTCGCTGTCACGTGAGCCGGGTTTCTCTGTGTCCTGGTCTAGATGAGCCTGGCGAGGCTGCGGGGAGCAGGCCTGTGTTTACCCTAGAACCCAGAATCAGCCCCTCCTGCAGGTGTGCAGCTCCACGTCCTTCTGTCTAGCCGGACATTGGAAGTAACCAGAGAGACAGGAAGCCTGCTGATTTCCACCTGCTTATGCCAGGCCTCGGCCAAGCTGACTGAGGACCTTGTCCTTGGCTGTGACCTTGCTGGCCTCTGGCTCCCTAACCCTGTCAACTGCCCCAGCCAACTCCCTACCACCGCTCCCGCCCTTCCACTGTGCCCAGCCCCCGGGTATGCCCCAGCTCACCATCCAGTTTAAGCAACTTGAGCAGTTGGGCATTCCAAAAGGCTAGCAGACAGTGAGGAGTCAGAGTGTTCATTATAAAAGGGGAAATTGGGAATGACCCCAGGGCCTGACAGAATGGAGATGCAAATTGAAGCCTGTGGGCTCTCAAAGAAAGAAGCCGACTTAAAACTTAACTCCTTGCTATACAAAATACATGTAAACGAAAAGAGCGGAGCTCCACATTCTATCAGCAGCAGCTGTCTGTGGGAGTCTCCTGTAGTCTCAGCGGTCATAGTACTGGGACGGACAGGACAGGACATCTTAAAAGCTGGTGTAGGTTTGTTTCTTTATGATTTCAAAGGTACCTGTAGATTTCCTAAGCCTGCAAAAGGCTAAACATTAGAGTTAAAATTGAATCATGGCTTAGATGGTATTGGTCATAAATACAAACCTAGAATCAGAAGAAATGGATGTTTCTTTACATAACTAGCAGAAATCCCTAAACTTTAGTACCTAGACTTCCATCTCATTTTTTTGAATGATGTGGAAAGAACTCATTAAAATCCTGAGGTGAGGGCTGGGAAGGTGGCTCAGTGGTAGAGTGCTTGCCTTGCATGCCTGAGGCCCTAGGTTCAATTTCTCAGCACCACATAAGCAAAAAGAAAAAAGCCGGAAGTGGCGCTGTGGCTCAAGTGGTAGAGCGCTAGCCTTGAGCTGAAGAGCTGAGGGACAGCGCCCAGGACCAGAGGTCAGGCCCCATGACCTGACCCAAAAAAAAAAAAATCCTGAGTTGAGAAAATAATTCCCATCATTGGGCCTGTCCTGTCTGTGGTAACCCTATAGCCATGGGTTGTTGATGAAGCGCCTGTCACAGATGGCTGCTGTAGCAAGCGGCCGCACGCCGGCCTGGGCTGAGGGGGCCTGGTTAAAAGCACACGAAGCCAACGAATTAATTTTCTACTCTGAAGCGGTGCCCAGACGTTTCTCAGCAGTCAGGCACCTCTGCCTTCGTGTGTGTTGACTCTGCTGAGAAATACTGAACCACCCTGTTAGCAGAAAGGCCTGTTCAGCCTGTGCGGCCTCTGTGCTGTCCTGAGCTCTGGTCAGAGCCTGCAGAGCTGCCCAACTGGCTCACTGCCCTGCCCAGGTGCCCAGGAAGCCCCTGGCACCACGTAGAGCCGACGAGGGAGGACGTGCTGGGCCCTGATTGCCCAGCGCTGCTTTGGGAGAAAGTTCTCGTCTGAAGGCTTTTGGGGAGGCATGCAGTAGTGTGGAACATTCTGGTATGAATGAGCTCACCTGGCACCTGCATGCTTGTGTGAGAGCAGGTATGCAAGCCACGAGACCCATTCGGGTGTGAGCAGGGACACCTGCCGCGCTGTCCAGTGGCTTAGGAGGAGGCGAGGGTGGTCTGGGCTGCGCAAGGCAGGCACGGGTGGGCCTCGCAGGGGGCGTGAGGCCAGGGGGGCTGCGGATGCACCTGGGCCTGGGCAGCCCTGGCCAGCCAACACCAGTGCAGTTCTCCCTCCCAGAAGCCAGTCACCTGATGCTCAAAAAGTTGCCAGCTATTCACAGTCTCATTCATCTTTAATATGCTTTTTAAAGCAACATTCTGATGAGCAAACACACCCATGGTCTAGATGCCGTGTGCCTCCTGCCTGCGTTAGCGGGGGGGGCGCCAGAGAAGGGGCTGCACAGCTCCCGCACCCCGCGCAGCAGCGGAAGCCTGGGCACGCTCGTTGGCTGAGACCTGGGGGAGGAGGAGTCCCAGGGGCTCTGGCCAGCCATGTCTGGGGACCTTGCCCGCGCCCCTTCCTCCCGAGCCGGTGCCGTCTTGCCTGTGTCTGAAGGCCTCCACTGGGTGTTTCCAGCGGGGCTGACACCACAGCTTCCTGCTGTGAGCTAGGGGGCGCCCGGGACGGGGGAGTGAAGCTTCTCCGTAGGGAAGTCAGTGGCAACGTGGTTTCAAGGAGGAGACTTTCGTGCCTCTGACACGGTCCCTCCAGGGAGTTTCCGGCAGGGTGGTGCCGCTTGCTTCAGAGCTGGGAAGTCAGCATCCGTCAGTCCCGTTTTCTCTGAGGCCACTGTGGCCAGGCATCTCATGGAGAATCAAGGAGAGGGCCGCCGGTGGTGAGGGGAGCTGGGCGCAGCATGTGTGTCACGGGGGACTCCCGCCCACTTTCAGTGGCTTTGTCGTGGGGTCCTAGGGTTGGATGCCCGTGACTTCAGGCTCCTCTCTCTCTCTTCTGCCTCCAGACCACATGGATAAATGGGCCTCTGACCTTGTGACCAGCAAGTTGCCAATCCAAGGAAACTGACTCCTGCCCCAGACTGGGGTTTCCGGTTTTAAGTGCTGCTTTGGAGTCTCCTGCCCTGCCGGCCTCTGTGTCCAGGGCTGGCGCCCTGCCGGGCTGCCTTGCAGGTCCCTGGCTGTCGGCGGCCATCCCAGCCACGCTGATGAGACCTGCCATG